ATTAGGTGATCAACATGACCAGAAGGAAGTCCGGATGGTCTTGGGTGTCAGTTGGTGCCGTTCTTGGAGAAGGACGAGAAAAATGGTGAGTCCTGCCCCCCGGAAACCTGGCGTATTTCCAGACCCTTATACCGTTGTATCCAGTGGGGATGGGTGGACGTCTGGGTGTATCTGTGCCTTTGGCATTTCTCCTGAAAGGCCGACTTGTCTAGCTCTGCGTGTTTTCATTCTTCTTGTGCACAGGCTAAACCCCAACTGTTCTGAGGTCCAGTCAATCGTCGTCGTCGTCGTCGTCCTTGTCAGCCTTTGCAGCTCTGCAGCTCCACGCAGACAGGGTACACGCCCCAGCCTGTAATTCATTTGATACGCATTTGACTTGGTCAAGGCACGATAACAAACAATCACAGTTGAGCTGTGTGACAACCCGTCAGCACACCAACCACAGATTAAATCATTAATATATACTCCGTACGTCTTCTCACACAGTGCTATGTACCCTTGCACATGCTAGGAGCTTACCAATGTCCATCTAGACCTGGACGTATCATATATCAAGTTGATGTTTGGCACTCCTTCGAAAGCCCCAGGGTCGAAGTATCAGATGCGGGCTGGCGCGTCGCTAAAGTCTTGCGGTCTTCGCGCCCCAAAATTCAGTCAACATCATCCACGGAGGTTTCGACCTTTGGAACATCCGGCACGGTCTCGGGCGACGTCGGTTTGAGATCCTCGTTCGGTCCCTCGCCCGGAGGCGGCGGGTAAAAGTTGATCTTGCCGTCTGGCCCAATCATGCCCGTACGGTCGTAGTAGGTTCTGGCCCGGACATATTTGTCCAGTTTCCAATAGTTTTCATTCAACTTCCTTGCGAGAGCGTGTCTCTCTTCTTTGATCTTGTCCATATCTGGCCCCGTTCCTATCGATATCCATTCATATGTCTTGTTCTGATACTCGCGGACATGAGCGTCTCGCTCGGTGAGGAGGGAATCCCGGGGTGCTTCGTCCTTCATATGGTCGTTCTCCCCATGGATAGGCTCTGCATACTTATATTCCCAGTCCTCATCTCCATCCAGCTCCTTGATGATCTGCGATCTAGGAATGAACTTCTCGAGATCTTCCACCCCGGACGTAAAGTGCACCTTGCCTGCCACCACGGGATCGAGCCATCCACGAATGATTTTCCATATTCCTTGAAAGATCCATGGCGCCTTATGGACGAGCACGGCGCCGAGAGATTCGGGATAATTGGCTTCGAAGATCTTGATCATAAACTTGACGGGGGTGTAATCCATGTTGGCCATGGTGAAATGGGTCATGTCAAAAACTATACACTAAAAAGAAATGTCAGCTGTGCATCGTTCGGGAGTCGGAGCAACACTCACAGCAGTTTCTACTGGCGGCCGCAAAGCAAGTCTAGCCGTCTCAATCACATAAACCGTATATCGCTCTAGCGCACGCTCTGTCTGGTCTCCGCCTCTATGAAGCCGCACCCGCACGAAACACAGGGGTCTGCCTTCTTTATCGGTGCCATGCAAGAAACTCTTCCCTAACCTAAGTTGTGCAAGGAAATCTTCTCCTTCTCTCTTAATGGACGGGTCGCTGGACTTCGAGTCCTCCAGAGCACCACCTTCTCCCCGGAGCACGACGTCATCGTCGACATGTTGTTCTTGACTTCGCCATCGCATCGTAGAAACCAACATGACCAGCGCCTTGTCGACATCCCATTTTCGCGCCCTTAGGAACCGCAGCAGTAGTGCGTCTGGATGATCGGCCTTAACCATGCTCCAAAAAGTGTCGCGCAAGGATTCGGGAGCCTGCGTGACTAATATCTGCTGAAATTCCTTCAACTGGCCATACTTATCATCGGAATCCGCATGTTGGCTGGGGTCTTTAGTTGGCGTGGCCGACCCGTTGCTCGACTCCTTATCTTTGTGTCTCTTGAATATGCCTAGTCGCTTTTTGCTCTTCTCTTTCTCCTTGACATCAAGTTCTGATGCGGCATCTTGGGCGCGGGGGGGGTCTGGTTCAGTCGCCTGTTGGGGGTCTTCCACGCCGAAGACCTTCAAAGTGACGGCCCAGAATTCGCGCAGCTTGGCCTCTTGTTCGGGCGTCAAGTTGCCCAAATGGCCGGGAGGCGCTGGCATATTGAGACGGAAAGGATCGCAGGAATCGGGCGTGGTGGGTTTGGACCCTTGGTGTTCCTCAGTGTGATAACCCTGGTCGTGTGCCCCGGAGAATCGGAAATGCACCAAGTACTCGAAAAGAATTGCAACTCCACAGGCGACGCCGAAGAACAGAATATAGGACGAGACCGAAGATTCGACAGGCGCGGCAACTGGTTGGACAGGGCTTCCGTCAACAAAAGGGTCAGTGGGAAAGGAGCGAGCCCTCGATTGTGGGCGAGAAATCGGATCGAATTTGCGGGAGAATGAGCGCGCCCCTCTCTGAGCTGTGGAGGGGAAGATGAAAACTGGTCGACTCAGGGGCAGCAGGCGCTGACAACAGCTGTGTCGCATCTATGGGCAGGACGCAGAAAAAGTCAAAGGAAAGACACCGATTATGAAAGATGCGAGATTGCCGCTCCTTTGGGAGCCCTGTTGAGCCGAAGTAGCCGTGGATTGAGGATAAACTCAGCACAAAACGACGACTGACTTCAGCAATTGCGACCATCCACCTCGTCGGGTTCCTGTATCTGATGTTCCCCGTGGCGCAGGAGGCGGCGGGCGGGAGGCGCAGGATGCTAGGGATCAAGCGAGCAGCTGGCAGGGATTGCTGTGGGAGACTGTAGACGGTAAACTGCAGACTGCGAGATGCGGTTATGTCATCGTCTGCCTGCGGCCACTACAACTGGACACGCTGCCTGCGCTGCGCTCTTCCTCTTCGGTCCCTTCATTCCATCAACACACCATCATCAAGCACCAGTGCTCACCCATGAACCTCTAGTAACAGATAATGCAAAGCCATCATCCTTCCTTTGGGCCTCAAGCGACGTGCACTCCTCCATCGTCCTCACCAAAGCTCGTGTCACCCCGTTTGGTTCAGTTTGCCAACATTCACAACCAAGAGACAACTCTTTCCTCTTACCTTTCCTTTGCCATGATGGCACCTACCGGTGATACTTGGACTTCTTCACGGTCTCATGTAACCCATTTCTGGTGCATCGGTCGGCGGATATTTTGCGTGAAGATTGTTGTTCACCTTTTCCTCTGTGACAGAGATTCACGCTCGTCCTTCACGGTCTCCTTTTGCATGAACAGCGCAAAAATGAAGACTTGAAAGGAATATTTGAACCACTCTCCAGCTTGGTGGTAAGTTGGATACTTTGTGCATACCACGGCATACCACGATCCTTTTCCCTCTTCGTCCGGTTTCTTTTCATTAAAACATGGCTACATTCATTTCCGTTCGCTCTTGCCCAGCTCGCGCAGTTCTCCTTGTTCTTTTGCTTGTCAATTTTCACGCCTGGGCTCGTGAAGATGTCGTGCGTCCCCCGAACACTCCAGCTATTGGTGGTCCTGCGGGAGTTACAGACAGTCAAGTGGCTATCTTCTATCGCACGTTCCAAGATGCCATTTATCTGGCTAGGCATACCGCATTGTACTGGCCTTGTGACGCTGCAAACGACGAGGTGAGTTGCTGCATTCCCTAAGCTGGGTGAAGGGTGCGCACATTGGCCTTGTGGAAATTCCACCCTGACAAGCTCATAGATATTCACTCGTTATTTCGAGCCAGGAGACGCCGAATTCGTAAAGAATATGTTCCGTGCAATCGCCAACATCGATCTCACTCTCGACCTCTCCAACCCAGAGACGGTTAGACAGCTTGCGGACCAACCTCTTTCATACAACAAACACTTCACCGGGTTATCGATCCATTTTCTCGATAACCATCCAGGATTAACTCAGCCAGGAGTCGTTTGGGACGGCACACTCACTTGCCATACCAATAGGCCGCTGCTAGCTTTTATGGTCCCTACATTTGGGGGCACTTCTGGATTGATGTCTGTTTGCAAGCGGCTGTATGCGATGTTGCCCATGCTTCAGGACGTAGAAACAGCGCCAAACTGGGCAATCGACCCGTCAAAGGGTAAATCAAATGGGCTCCAGTATTATGATGGATATGGCTGCCAGAACCTTGGAGACACTGACAGTAGCAATTTGCATAGCACTGGCTCTGTCATGTTGCATGAACTGATGCATTTCCCTGGTCTGTTCTCAGACGTCCCACACTACGCCGCCACCATCCCGTCCCAAATTCAATTCTCCAGTACCCCCCACGTCATTTCAGACTTCTTTGGGGATTGGCCTAAAAATGGATATGGCCCTTACAATTCGGCCGAAATAAAGAGGTTCCTCCCGCGAGACCATTCCTATTTCGAATGGAAGCCTACCTACAATGCGGACAACTACGTCAGCTATGCAGTCAGCCAGTACTACTCAAGGGTGTGTGGGAGAAAATTTGGAGAGGCACCGAGCGAGAAAGCTGCTTATCCGAACCGGCATCCGCCTTCGAACCCTTTTCCTTGACAAGCCCGGATAGCATGCCATAATCATTCGCCGATGGCGTACTTGTGAAAGTGGATGGTGGGATTGTGGGAGACAATGGCCATGTGAACTGGCTTGCATCCAAGCCGGAACGTGTTGCCTTCTGGCGTACAATTGGCGCAGGGTTATGGTCCCATTGTCTGGGACAAGGATGAATATTTCTGAGAAGTGGGAGAGTAGTTGTAAATAATCACCGGCTTCCGCCAGGGGAAGATTCTATCAGGCTCAGGATATGGATCGAGCATTACAAAACCATGTCGTGGCGGCTTGCTGCCCGACCAGTTCAACTCGTTTGCCTCAAAATCACGTCGTTGGATCGAGCATTCCATCCAGTGTCTCCTCTGCATGGTGCAACGTAGCTTGGTTGTCAGACATACTCTAGCTTTTGTCTACTTGGAGACCGGCCAATGGCGGCACGAATCGTGGAGCTCATGTTGAAAACCCCATTCTCATATTCGGCTTTTATCCCAGCCCCAAATGCGGTACCAGCCTCTCGTTCACAAATTGCTCCAGTCCGTGCAATTGTACTCCCAGATCCAGTACTTTTTGGTCAGGCAGCACCACCCCAGGATAGGTGCCGGTCTTGTTATAGAGTGTGAACATGATATCCCGCTGTGCATTGCCCGTCGTAGGGAGAACCACGTATTTCGTTGGCAGACCGGTAACTTTGTTTGGCGTTGGTGTCAGTTTCTTCGCTTCCTTCAGGGGCTGATGCCCTCATTCACGTAAATTTTATGATGAGAGAGCTTACCGCGCTGTATAACCTCGCAGATCTCGCGAGGGGTATGAACGGCGTCCATGGCATAAAGATGCTGGTATCTCAGCTGCTCCTTCCGCTCGTCCCAGTTGTCAAATATCGCCTTCGTAATGCCGGACAGGTCCTTTTCGACCCACACCATATGGACTGAACATTAGTACCGAGTACATATTAGCCAGGGCCCGTCGCCAAAGTAAAAGGAGGGGTTGAGTGAAAGAGAAAAGAAAGAAAGAAAAAAGACTCACGCGTCGTATCCTGCTGGATGATGGGCTGGCGAAACTCGATGCCCTTCCCGTCGTCCGTCTTCACGACGTGGCCTCGTAGGACCATGTTCTCGTAGAAATTGCCCGTGTAGACGAAGACGGCGGCGTCGAAGTTGATCTCGTCGCGGATGAAGCGGTCGACGCGGTGCTTGCCCTCGTAGATCTCGCAGCACACTTCGCCCTTGGAGATCTCGACGGAGGACGGCAGCGTCGACCAGACGAAGCATGACACGCCGGCTCTCTGCGCCGCCAGCGTGGCGTTGCGGCCCTGCTGTTCTTCGCTCGCAGGGTCGTCTTTGATTGTCTACTCGGGAACGCCCGGCCAGTCAGTATACAAGCCGAGACATTACATGCATGGATTGAGGGTCATGAACTGAGCAGCTTGCGCGGGTGGAGACACGCAATCTCTCCCTCACACACACAGGGATAAAAGCGCCGCTTAGCGGGGTTACTGAGGAGAAGAGGGCGAGGAGGAGAAGGAGCAGAAAAGGCATACCGCATCGTAAAAGTTCGTGACGACGAACGCGCCCCAACAGTCGCTGAACGCTGCGTCCAGCGTCGACGCATCCGTCAGATCCCCCTTCACAACCTCGGCGCCCTGCTGGGCCAGCCGTTTCGCGGCATCGGATTCGGGATTCCTCGTGAGCACACGGACCTTGTACTTGTCGGGGTATTGCAGGAGGAGCTTGGCCACGGAGCCGCCTGGGACGGAGAGTATGAACGTCTGTTAGTAAATGTCCACGAGGTGGTAGTCGCAGATATGGGTATATCCGATATAAAATAAAATAGAAATATGTTATAAGTACCCTGGTTCCCCGTGGCGCCGGTGACGAGGATCCTCTTGGCCATCATGTGTCTCTCTTGTTCTTCGTTCTTTCTTCTATCCCCAACTCGAGCTTTTCAGGAGATTATAAAATGGGCAGTTCCAAATCTCATTGGGGATATTTCACAGTTGGTAACTAGTCCCAAGGACCACGCCGCATCGCACCGCACCTCACCGTAGGGATATAGATACAAAGTATGTATATGCTCTGAACGCGTGGACGGTGCTGACAAATTTGGAAAGGTGAGCGCGGAAAGCGGAAGATGTGCCGAATTTGCAGTTACTTGCTCACTGTCCAATAAAGACGGTTGACCGACCCTTGACCGACCGAATGGCCGATGAGAGTGCTCCGATGAGGAGCACGGACACTCGTACAGGGGAGGGGGAGGATTGTAAAATGTTGTTCATTACTAGAGGGAGACGCCCTTTGCCGATATATCTCCGTGCGTGAGGATTTTCTAGTTTCCTTTTCTTCATTCTGGATGAGAGGCTGAATGAAGGCAGCAAAAGATATACCTATAACGAGAAGACAACAGCAAGGCTGAAAGTACAAGGGGCGGCTCGGCGGAAGCGCCGTGTTCGGCATATCTCCGTCCGAGGCGGCCGCGTCGATGTCACGGGTTGGAAAAGCGACTGCCCCAAATGGAGGGGCATCAGCACGGAATAATAATGACATAAGAGTTGGTTTCCTCCTTTGCAGATGGACGGACTCATTTCCGTGTTCTCCTGCTGCGGACGGCGACTCGGAGTTGGGTCTAGCCTACAAGGACTGCCAGATCTCTTTAAAATCGTTCGTCTCCCTCTTCGTCCGCCCCAGCTCCAACAGAGCAGGTGGAATAACCTCTTCCAACTGGACATCCATCAGCCTGGCCAAGAAACAGATCAAGGTGGTGTCCAGAGCTGTTGGGGCTGTAGTGCCGAAGATCCAGGCACTTGCCTGGTCCTTTTTGTTATGTGTGCGTCTGATTGTGTCGATGTCGTTGAGAAGAGCACGCGCACTCTCAACCTCCGCCTTGATGACTTCCGGTCGCACTCCATCGACCTTCTCTGAACGGGTTCTGGCGATATGGTTAGTATCGCCCCAAATTCCCGGCGTTCGACGAGTGCGTACACAGTCAACTTGTACTCCAATGCTTTCTTATGTCTAGCCGAAAGACCAGGCGTGTTCATTTTGGCAAGGATAGCTCCCTCCAGCAGCTCTGCCCTCTGCGGGCGGTTTCTCATTGAAAGTGTGAAGAAGTTTATGGCATGAAGATTGCGGAGCAGTCTGTTGATATCATCTGCGTATTCAGGTGGTCTCAGATCTGGGTGCCGTTCACATAACCAGAGGGTGATCTCAAGACTGTCTGTTATCGGCTTTCCCAGGTAACCTTTACTCTCCAGAACTGGAACCTGTTGCGAATTGTTAGTGCTGTCCCTTGCGCAGAGATAGCTCTCAACTAGGATGTCTGTAGAGGAGGTTTCTCTTACCTGTCCTTTAGGATTCACTTCGCACAGATATGACTCGGATAGCTGCGCGCCGTTGAAGATGTCGATCTCTCGGAGCTCTGGAGACAGGAACAAGCAATTCTCGACTGGCGGCCCCGCATTAGCAAGAGTATACCGTACCATAGAACTGCATATGGAACGCCCGTCGTAGTAAAGAATGCACGGTTGAGTCTCCATATTGGTTTGCTGCCGGGTCACTCTACACCATACGCTGGTATGGGCTGATCAGCTAGAGATGATTCGTGAATGGGACGTCTGCAGCTTCTATCCAAGCTTTATGGGGGATTATTTGCCCTGGACAATATTTAACAGTCTTGCAGACGCATTCGACCTTGGTCTTGTTAGCCGTCTCCGACGCTTAGTAAGCATTGTTGCTGGCCTTGCTGTACGCGCCAATCCCCGCATGTCCACATGCCGCAGATTTTTTGGTGGTCGGGCCGGATAAGAAGCGCCAGATGAAATCAGATGTCCATCTCTCGGTTCCCATTCATTTCTGCAACTCGGGGTCGAGATGTATTCGCCGCTGAGATGAGACTGACGAGCAGTGGTTGGCGGCCTTACAGTCCGTGGAATCAAGGGTTGCCTGAAAAGCTCACGCGCTACGATGTCTTTGTCTTCATGCTACCATTCTTCAGGACGATGATTGCGCAGTTCCAAGCTTCGAGTAGGATGTCAGAGACAGGATGTCAGAAACAGGCCTCGTTTCCTCTCTGCCATGTGACGGAACAGAAGCCACAGGGACATACCATTTCTTAGAAAGCAGCAACTCCCAACACGACAAGTGATCTCACGGCAGTGGTGTTTCCGTGATAGCAGCAGGTCTTACTCGGTGGCGAAGACAAAACCTTTGCCAGATGAGGTGGTGTCGCACTCCAGCTACTCGTCCTTTCGAGTGATAGCAAACTGACCCAGACTCGGCAAGAAAATCGACTCTAATGGGATGGCCCGCACTCCTCGAAGATCTGACGCGAGCTTATGACCGATTAAGACGGCAGAATGGACAAAATATCGAGCCATCGGACTAGAATGAGTGATGTCGTACAGTTTCGCCTAGTGTTGGTACACCAGGAAGTAACGGTTATCAGGGGCAAAAGAAACATGTGATGGCGACCAAAGAAAGAGTAACCTCCTACGGCAGCAGCAAGATCTTCTCCAATTAAACGCAATCTATACCAAGGATGGTGAGCGGATTCCACTAACAGCAATATGAATCTTGTCTTGGGCCGTAATTTGGGGCAGTCGCAACTTGAGATCCCACCGGAACGCGATCGAGATGGGTGTAGCGATTCGCATTGCTAGGAGTGGAGAGAAGAATAATCCCAACGAGCTGTCATTTGTCCATGTTGGCGGCGAAACCATTCAAGTAGATCTGGTTATAGTCGCCGATGGTACATGCTGAGTTATAAAGAGGCAGATCTAGACGTTAAATTCCTTGCCAGCAAAATTCTCCTTGCAGGAGTAGACAGTGAACTTCGAGTTCTTGGCTTAGTTGTGGACCACGTAACCATTTCTGTCTAGGAAATACAAGTTCCAGATAAGTAGTCACCGAGCAGAAAGCATATGGTCTTGGTCGGAGACACAGCTTATGCCATGTTACCTTCTTGAGTCTTACAAGGATATCCCTCACCTGACCCGCAAGAGTCACTAACACCGGAGACAAGCGCAGAAATAGCAAGTCGAAGATGCGGCAGCACCGGCTGATGAGTTCAGGCGACTAAGAAGGACGTCAAGAGACCAATCGATGAGTGATCCGCCGGTGCCGAATTGGGTGTATTTGCATAGGCCAGCTTTAGTAGTGAGGACAAATATACGCAAACTCAGGTTTGAGCTGGGACTGGAAGAAGTTAATCCACGAGGACGGATAGATTTGCAATAGATGACGGATCGGGAATGTTGGTCGAACCACATTGGCACAGGGGGAGTTGATGAGGACTTGAAAGTCGGCACGTCGTAACGGTTGGGCCAGCAGAGGCATTTACTAAATGCCGAATTCCCAATGGCTCATATCGACCAGGTTAGTTGAATGCTAAGGAGAACCTCGTCAGAGAAAGCCGTCGTCTCAAGTCGCGGGAAGACCCGTAGCAGGGGATTCGAGGGTCGATGTCGATTCATTCTTCAGGTACTATGGTCTGAAGCACAGTTTCCGGAGGCGAGCAAAGTCGATCTGTTTGCCACAGAGCACGCGTGGTTGGGCAATCCTGAACGCTTGATGATCACGGTCACGTACTCGTGTAGACAACCTGTTCCAGGAAGTTCTTTGAAAACCGAGTGACCTGCTCGTAGACTTCTTCGAATCCGCTGTCAGCACCGTAATAAGGGTCGATCACTTCTTCACCCTCCCTTCTTCCCCCGAAATCGCCAAACATCATGACTTTGGCCTTTGTTTTCTGTCCTCGGCTTTCAACTCTTCGCTGCAGCCGCTGCAGATCACTGAAATTGTAGGCGTCCATTGCGAAAATGTAATCAAACTCGTGGAAATCCTTTGTGCGCACCTGACGGGCACCATGATCATAGTCTGTGATTCCATGTCTTCGAAGCGTATCGAGCGTTCTATCATCGGGTGGATTGAGGGTGTGATAGGCGCCAGTGCCAGCTGAGTCGATGTCGCCAATGCGAGGGTGGGATTTCGCGAGCGACCGAAAGACGCCTTCGGCCATTGGCGATCGACCTATGACCTCCAATCAGCTGAGATATGCGGGACCATCGCGAGACAGAACTGTACAAATGTTCCCTAGGCAGACAAAGAGGACGGAGATTTTGATCGAAGAATCCGTCATTGTGGAGTATCTGGATGGCGCAGTCGACACTTTGCGTGGAAGGTTGCGTGGCAAGCCGCTCACCGACGACTAACCGCAGCGAGGACAACGACGCCAATTGAAGTCTGAGGGGGCACCAAGAGGACAGCCGTAGGGGCCAGGAGACATACAAGAGCTTGTGGGAAACGACCTGAGTACCAGAACCTGACTCGCTGAGTACCTTGTGCGTAGTGTTCGCTTCGGCTTTGTTCATGCTAGACTTAGTGTGGGAAGAGTCTTGGCACTGCAGCGCAGCCTTGTGCGCCAAACGCGCCACCCAGCCTAGGTCATAGGTAGACCGTTTCCTCTTACTGGGCAGTCAATCAATCAAGTCTCTACGGATTACGGAGCCTTGGTTCAAGACTCGCATGGCTATACACTCCCAGATGCTTTTATTTCTAAGTCCGCGACGAACTTCGGGTGCAATCTGCCTAACCTTGCTGTTTCCCTAGTGGGATATTCCTCGACAACGTCAGAAGCCAAGGATTGCACACACCCGACATAGAGCTCCCTCACGGATTCCTTCCTGACAGAGGGAGCCAATGTGATGCTCCAGAATTGAGGAATTGCTGTGAGAGAATGACGTGGTATATTGGAATGACCGATAAGAGTCTGTGATACCACCACTCATAGGATCCTCTTTGATTCAGCCTTGCCGAACAGATGGAATTACTGATGTACGTGATGCCAACCGGCTCCAGCTAAAGCCGATTGCAAGTTGTGTTGGCATGTTTCGTGAATCACTGAGTAGGAGAGATCCTCCTTCCGACTACCTAGATGAAGGTTACAGGCCGTGTACAAATCAGGCACATGCCTCCTGACACCTACCTTGGGGGTAGGTTGCACAGGGACAGGTATGCCGGATGCCGCGACTTGAGAAGAATCTCGGTCGATGATTTGAGACAGGAAACACATGCGGACCTTGTGGCCATAAGGGCTCAAGGAATTCTTATGTATTCTCAGGCTCTTTTCAACCGAGTCGTGAGTTGCCATATCGCAGAGTGCTTATCAGGACCCTCATCTTGCTGCTTTGCAATGCATACATCTCCGATGCCTGCAGCTCTCGCATTTCTCATCAAGCGCAGAATTGTTCAACATGCCACATTCGCACTAGAATCACTTAGCAGATTGTTCGCAGTACAAGAAAGAGCCTTGAAGACATCTTACACAAGCCCAGAAAGTGTTCGTTGATGGCCTAGGGAGCATCGCGCTTGAGAAAGAACTTGATGGCTCTGGGGGATCGGGTATAACCGAAACTTTGCACTGTATGCATTTCTGGTGCTTGCAGACGGATGAGCTGCAAACCTGTTCGGACCCACTGTTCATGGTTCCACAATTGTTCTTGCACTACTTTGAGTGAGAATCTAAGGAGTCTTGACTGCGGCTGAATGTTCCATACGCATTTCCATACTACTCCGAAGGCGACAGGCCGGGGGGACACAAAAACGAAGGGCAAGATGGTGTGTGGCGGGCCCTAAGTAGCAGCGTTAGCCGTCTTCCGGGTTATGACCCGCACTCAGGGACGTTTTACCGTGCTCTCACCATGGAATCCTGCCACGAGACCGATAAAATTATATCCTCTCACCATTTCAGCGATATATAAGTCACGGCACTTCTCAAACTGCGCAACCTTGCAGCCAGGAAGTTCGCGGAGAGATCTCTACTGCCAAGGCGCGCCCGACACAGCAACATGTATCAGGTGACCGCCCCTAGAACAACAATTCGGCAATATCGACTAGGCTTCAGGTAACAATCTAACGACCTGTCCCCATAACCACCCGTGTCTGCCTCGCCATCGCGCATGTCCATGGACGGAGGTGGCATTGGCCCGCCCGACAGGGTGTGGGAGAACAAGTACAGTGAACGGAGAACCGAGAGAGTCTACCAAGATGAAGATCCTCGAGAGGGGGGCTCTCGAGACATTTTCCCCAACGGCGTCAGGTTGATCGAGTATCTCGAGCGGGATGACATCGCAGGTCTGAGCAATGCGTTCTTGACCGTGTTGAGGCATTGTCTCGAAGCACCCTCCGAACTCAACGACGCACATTTGCGAGCTTTCCTCACCACGGCAAAGAGCGAAGACTTGAAATCACCGACAAAGCGCCCAGATTCAGCGCCTTGTACCATTATGATTGATGATAGGCGCGATCCCGAGGTGAGACCATCAACAATGCGAAGGTGGGATGGAGGATATACGGAGTATCCTCCCGAGGGTTGTGATATCTGGCCAGAGGAACAGAGGGATCTTTCCCTTTTGGAATTGGTGGCGCGGCTGAAGGAAAACGTAAGTCGGTATACTTTGGTTTATATATCAAATCTGTGCTCATATTTGCCGCAGCGCCATGAGAAACGAGCTGAGAAACGTACAATGTAATGTTGCCCAAAGCGCTGGATGAGAGGGCGAACTGCTGATCCTTCGCCCCAACTCACAGCTACATTTCCAATATCACTGCCTCTTGCATGGTCGCAATAGCGGGGACAACTTCGCTCCGTTCTCTTCGTACCATCAGAGGTTTCTTCTCCCATCTTCTCCACTTTAGGACGACCTTCCGCATCTCATTGGTATGGACAGATGCTGTTTTCTCATTTATCTGTTCTCTTCCGTATTTACTCTTCCTCTCTCCGATCTCAAGAGAGAGAGAGAGAGAGAGAGAGAGTTACGGAGTCCTTGCCCTTTAGTCAGCTTCTGTTCACTTACAATGTCCTGGAAAAGGAGGCAACGTTTGCTCTGGAATTCCACTTACCGTATCTCGCTCTTCGAATTGGGAAAATACCCCCAGACAGTCGAGAACTCGCTGGGTCGCCATTACGAAACAGCCAACAGCTTCCTCTCCCGTTATATTCCCAGACCAAACAAGATGCATCGTACTACGAATCAAAGGTCTCTTTTCTTGCCACAGGAATAGACGAGTGGCTTTGGACGACGTACTGCTGTGTGGACAACTTTTACGGTGTCGAAACATATCGCAGGGATTGTTTGCGCAATAGACTGGATCCTGCCTCAGGCGGTTCTCTCTTGCTCGATCAACCCGTATGGAATCCTCGACATTATTTCCTTGTCGTGCTCTCCCAGAGGATGAGTCAGGTAAACTGGGAATGGGAAACCCTTGTCACTTATTTCATCGATCGTCTGGAACGATACGTACGTTCAAAGGGTCTGTCGATGGTCTTTAGCTACCCTGGAATGGCTAACATTCAGTGCACAGGAAAGTTCCTTCAGCATGTTTGACGATGAAAAACTGACTAGAACAAGAGAGCTTACCGGTGCAGTTTCGTGTTTGAGGGAGTTTAGAGACACCCTTTCAGGCACCATCAGGGCCTGGGATAACTTTGAGTCGAACTACATACGTCTTTTTGAAGCTCCCAGACTTCCCAAGCTGCACAGTTTGTTTCAAGGGTATATCGTGGAGACTCGTGTGTCCGTGTTTCAACTCAAAGATCTCCACGCCTTGATGTCCCAGAAGCTCGACAAATTCAACAGCATGCGAGACGGCGTAAGTCGAGGCTGAGCTCTTCTACCGTGCCCGATTTGCGTCGTGCTAATCATGGATAACCCGTGCTTCTAGCTCGTCAATGCTTCTGCACTCAAAGAGAGCTCTGAGGCCACCCGCCAGGGGAACAATATCGGCATCCTGACTAGAATGACAGTGGTAAGCACACGAATCAAACAAAATCATGAGACAACGTTTGGCTAAGATTTCAAGCTTTACCTCCCACTCTCTCTAGCCACGGTATGTGTCTCGTGTAAACTTGTATTCTGAAGATCGCTTTTTGACCAGAATCAAGGCCATCTTTAGCGTAGCAATGATGCCGGCTACTAACTGGCTCTGGCTTGGGTACGGATTTGCCCTCTGTTTGACGACGGTGGCGACCATCTACGCGGCTAGGAATCCTAGCCTTCTAGACATTGCCTTTGCGGGGGGATCCACGAGAGACGTGGGGGTAACTGTTGAGGATCGAAAACTCTCATTGAATTGAAGAATGTTTTCCTGGCCGAGCAACCTTGGAAACTTTCTAAGTTGTGAGACTTTGAAGAAAATAGTACACGGTAAGCATAGACCCTATATTGAGTGGTAGAATCATACCTAGTTATGATCACCGATTCCACGGGCTTTTTGACTGTAACGCGGCTAGGATTGAGGCTTTGGACTTTATTGGAAGAAGAGGAGTCAGCCCTTCGAGGTGCAAGGCTGACCTCTCAGTGCACTTGGCAGGGCTAGTCTGGGGAAGCATGAAACACTGTCTGCACAGCCACAAGGCGCTAGAATCTGCAGTTCGCCTTGGGAGATTACGAATGCAATAGTACGGAGTATTAGGCGTCAGGAGAACTTTCACCGAGGACAGAGTGCTACGACTGTCGACGAGCAATGTACCGAGTAAAGAACAAGTCCGGCTTGATGATCATCGGAATCTCCGTTCAGTGGTTCGAGGCAACATCCTTGCAAATTGATGGCAAATCTCCAAACCTCTCGAGAGAATAAATAGAAACAAAGCACTAAAGGGGCTCGCAGCCTGAGAGGCGGAGAGGCGAAAACCAAGAAACCAAGAAACGTGGGTGCATCATCTTGCTGCAGGGTCATGGCGCGTTTCTGCGGCGATGACTTCCAGGCGTGGCTTTAACTGGCTTTCAACTGGGTTCGACTGGGTTTAACTGGCTGGCGTCCAGTCGGTGCCCGTGGGGCGCGGTGGTTAAGTGACAGTAGCCAATGTCCGTCAGTCGCTAGGCGGGTCGGAATAGTGACGGTTTCCACAAGCAGAAATGCAAGTGAGAGCAGGTGAGAGAGCTGAGGCGCTGCGCGGCATTGCGCCCAGCTGAGAACCCGACGACCACGCTCTTTCCATCTCACATGTACCTCGATATCATCGCCTGGCCGGCTACCTCGATACCCTCGTCCGAAAAGATTCCATCCCTTCGTTCTGTGCGACTCCCCTGAAGCGCGCCGGGGTTCGACTTCGCACGTCTATACATGACCAATCCGCCCCAGTGTCAGATCCAGTAATAGAAGAGTAAACATTAATACTGCTTATACTCCACACTGTCCAGATCGCATGCCACGACTCCTCTTACTGACCGACCATTCACGATTCTAAATTCTGACACACGGATCGCCTTCTCTTCGTCCTCACATTCCTGTGCCCCGAACACAGACCACTTTCTCTCTGCGCTACGAACCGTCCCCGTTTTGGCCCATCATGGCCTACAATCGCATTGGTGAGTCTCCTCTCTATTTGGTCTCGAGGAGCATACTGAACTTTGTTCACCAGGCGATCCTCAACGCGACGGCCCTTACTCTCCTGCTATGAACCCTCACTACGACTCTCGCTCCCCTTCTCCTGGCCGACCGCTACAGCCCTATACTCATCCTGACGAAGCGCACTCGAGGCAACAGCTTCACCTACAGATGCCCACGGCTTCCAACGACCGTCTGGCCATGCAGCCCACATACTCGGTAGAAAACATCCCGCATTCTCATGGCCATAACCAGCAGTATGAACAACAGCTGCCAGTTGGACCAGGAGGAGACATAGGCTATGGAAGAAATGACTACGTTGTGTCACCGGAGGAGCATCATGACGCTTATTACAATCGACCATATTCACCTCATCCTCAGGGTGATTATGCGCTAGACCCATATCCTACGCCGGACCAGGCATACCGTATGGACAACGACAACGTTCCCATTCTTCAGTCCGAAGCCGCCTACGGGCCCGATCCGCACCAAGAAGAAATGAACTATGACGGTTACCATGACGAAGCGCGTCCTACGCCGTCTCCGGCACCCATAAGGAGGTGGAAGACAGTAAAAGAGGTACAGTTGTTTAATGGCAATTTAGTGCTTGATTGCCCGGTTCCTCCCAAACTGCTCGCTAATGTCCCTCATGCGAAACCGCCGGAGAGAGACGAGTTTACCCACATGAGATACTCAGCGGCGACATGCGATCCCTCAGATTTCTACAATGAACGATTTACTCTGCGACAGCGACTGTTCGCAAAGCCAAGAGAGACGGAATTGTTCATCGTCGTCACCATGTACAACGAGGACGAGTTCCTGTTCGCCCGAACCATGATTGGTGTCTTTAAGAACATTGAATTCATGTGCAATCGCAACAGCAGTAAAACTTGGGGCAAGGAGGCATGGAAGAAGATCGTCGTTTGCATTGTCAGCGATGGCCGTGCCAAAATCAACCCCAGGACAAGGGCGGTCCTCGCCGGTCTAGGCGTTTATCAGGATGGCATTGCCAAACAACAAGTCAATGGCAAAGACGTCACCGCTCATATCTACGAATACACCACTCAAGTCGGTCTGGAATTGAAGGGGACCCAGGTGTCGCTAAAGCCGCGATCAGCCACTCCCGTTCAGCTGCTGTTTTGTTTGAAAGAGAAGAACCAGAAGAAGATCAACTCACATCGGTGGTTCTTCCAAGCCTTCGGTCGAGTGCTAGAGCCTAATATTTGTGTCCTCATTGATGCGGGAACCAAACCCGGTAAAGACTCCATCTACCAGCTGTGGAAAGCTTTTGACCTGGAACCATCTTGTGGCGGTGCTTGCGGCGAAATCAAGGTCATGTTGGACCACGGCAAAAAGCTCTACAACCCTTTGGTCGCCACGCAAAATTTCGAATACAAGATGTCGAATATCTTGGACAAACCTTTGGAATCAGCATTCGGCTTCATTTCGGTGCTCCCTGGCGCGTTTTCGGCTTATCGTTATATTGCTTTGCAGAACGACAAGAACGGCGAAGGGCCTCTCGAGAAGTACTTCAAAGGCGAAACCATGCACGCAGATGCTGGAGTGTTCACCGCGAACATGTATCTTGCCGAAGATCGAATCCTCTGTTTCGAGCTCGTCAGCAAGCGTAATTGCCAATGGATCCTTCAATACGTCAAATCGGCCACGGGCGAGACCGATGTTCCCGATGGCATCGCCGAGTTTATTCTTCAACGGAGGCGGTGGCTGAACGGGTCATTCTTTGCCGCAGTCTATGCTGTGGCGCATGTCTACCAGCTCTGGCGCAGCAACCACAGCGCGATACGCAAGTTTATGTTCTTGATCGAGTTCACGTACCAGACGATCAACATGCTTTTCGCCTGGTTCGCCATTGGGAACTTCTTTCTGGTTTTCCGACTTCTGACTGCTTCTCTTGGCTCACCTGGGCCGCTTGGGAAGGCTGGTACAGTTTTGGGGGTCATCTTCGAGTTCATCTACCTGGGCACGCTGCTATATTGCTTCATCCTATCCATGGGCAACAGACCTCAAGGTTCCAAGAAGTCTTACCTGGCAATGGTTATTTTTTGGTCGATACTCATGATTTGGTTAACCTTTGCTTCGATCTATTTGACAGTGAGGTCAATCCAGACCGAGGTTGCCCAAAAGGACTTTAGTTTTTCGACCATCTTTAACAACAGCACCTTCTTCGGCCTGATTGTATCCCTTGCAAGCACATACCTTCTCTGGTTCGTGGCGAGCTTTTTGTTCTTCGACCCTTGGCACATGTTCACGTGCTTCATTCAATACATTGTCCTCACTCCGACTTACATCAATGTCCTCAACATCTATGCATTCTGCAACACTCACGACATTACTTGGGGTACCAAAGGAGATGACAAGGCCGAGAAACTTCCAAGTGCGAATGTAAAGCCAGGTGGGATGGTCGATGTGATGATTCCTCAAGATGACGGCGACTTGAACGCCCAATATGATGCAGAACTGAAGCGATTTGCGACAAAAGCAGAGAAAGAGGTGAGGAAACAGAGTCCGGCAGACAAACAGGAGGACTATTACAAGTCTTTCCGGAGCAATGTCGTCACGGCTTGGATGATTACAAATTTTATCTTGGTGGCCGCCGTGCTGAATGTTTCGGGTTTTGAGAGAATCGATACCGGCGACACGGCACAACAGAACTCGACCATTTATTTGGCGGTCATCCTGTGGTCGGTGGCGGGTTTGTCCCTTTTCAGGTTCATTGGCGCGTGTTGGTTTTTGATCGTGCGGCTGGTAAGTCGATCGCATTCGTTTGAAGGATTTCTTGCTAACTCCAAGCAGTTCCGTGGTGTATGATTTCAGGGAGGGTCGCAATACATGATGATACACGAGCGGCATTCTGTATGACGACTTTTGAGCGTTTTCGACATTACACTGTGTATATATACGCTGGGTGACGAGTGCTTCATAATGGCGAGATACCCCAAAGAAATTGGATGAACGCTTGAACACTGGGAGTTCCTTGCTACTTGAAGATAGACTCAGGCAAGAGAACACCGAATAGATGAGGGCCAGTCCTAAATCTACCAAAATAGTTGTGTATTGCGTGTTGCGCTCTTTTCCGCCTTCTATGTTCACTTTTCGATCCATAGTTGTCTATAATCCAGCCCATCTCAGCCCAGAATTACTTCTCTACATCAACCCCAGGTCAAGTCTTGGACCAGACACAGAGTCCGATGCCACCACATACCAGTATCATCCCCAACCAGGTATCTCTCGAAATGAGTTTGCCCTCAGCGTACCATTCCCCCAACACAGTGAAAAGAAACGCCAAAGAGTTGGTGATCGGTACAGTGAGAGACAATTCTGTGCGCTTCGGTTAGTTGCCTCAATGTCGAGCAATGTATCAGCATTGAAGAGGAAGAATGACAGGTAAGATAGACATCATTTTCCAAGAGCTGCAGATCGCACGAAAGGGAGGGTCTACATACCGGCTTGTCCAACCAACAAGAAGAACCAGATACTCCCCGTCAGATTCAGAAGCAATGGAACAGCATAAGTCGGAGTCTTCAAAAGTCCCACGACAGTGAAGAACGCCTTCGCAATCTGTCGCGAGATGCAGGATCGGGTCGGGTCGGTGATGGAAGGATGGGATGGAGCTGTGTAGTTGACAGCGGCCTTGCGGATGAAGGGCGTCGTGAAGCCCCAGCAGATGCCGACAAGCAGAAAGGAGAGAATATAATTGAAGGGAGAAGGCGTCGGAGATGCCGGATCAGCGGCAGAGGAGGACATGGTCGAGGAGCCGTAGGACGAGATGATGGGCAGGATGGGTGTAGGGGACGGACCTACCAAGTATGATAGTAGAGGTACCTCGTATGTTGCTTGTATGAAGGAGACACTCAAGTGCCAAGGCGCTAAAAGCCCTCTTGGCGTGTACGGGCTACAGGCATCTTCGATATGCTTGTGGCGCTGCGGAAACCAAACATTGAACCAGAGGCTTTCTCTTCCCACTCGCGTTGGCACGAAGTTCCCGAGTGAAAATTGGACGAGGCTCCAATGGCAGGATCCCGGTCTATGATCTGCCGTTCATCCTGCGACGAAATACGAAGTATGTATATCTATTTCTAAAAATGGTGACCACAACCATCCATGCAAACTCTCAATCCACAGGGTTGACTACAATCATGAGGCATCCAGTGCTGAATCAAAGTGATCGTCCTTGTCATGTCACGTCTTGCCATTGGGCGCCGGAGCTGCCAGGCCATGTGCTTTTCGCTTACAAACAGCGATCGGTCCGATGTTCTTTAAAAGATGCGAACCTCCGTTCACACTGGGCTATGATAGATCAAGTCATAGTGACTGACAGTCTCGAAACTGGAAGGCTATATAACGACTACAAACGAGCTTGCAAATTATGCTTAACTCGCTAGCCTTGACCCACAAGCGCTCAAGGCGCCATACTCCCAAGGTTCGTACAGGATGTGTCACCTGTAAAGCGAGGAAGGTCCGGTGCGACGAGACAAAGCCAAACTGCGGGAAATATACCTCGACGGGACGACAGTGTGATGGCTATATCGCCCCGAGACCTCTTCTCTTCGAAATACCCCAAGAAAAGGACGTACGCTGGGGTTTCTACTATTTTTGCGATAGGACATCAGAGCAACTTCTCAGCTTCGCCCATCGGGACTTCTGGAACCGCCTGGTCATCCAAGCTGATTATTCTCGTGTAGCTGTCAGGCACGACCTGGTCACAGTTGCCTCGTATCACGAGAGTGTCGATCATCTCGACCGGTCTCGACGGCTGGATCGACAGCGGTTCGCCCTTCAGCAATACAACAAGGCAATCAGAAGCATCCTCGATGCTGGAATTCACGGTGCCGCAGAAGACGTTCTGCTGGCCTCAATTCCGTTCACCTTCTTTGAAAGCATTCGGGGTTCTTGGTCAAATGCTCTGGTCCATCTCGATGCAGGATTACGAGTCCTTTCCGAATATCGACCTTCGCATGGATCTAGGGAAAAGGCCAGGACATCCAATCGGCTCATCGAAGACCACCTCGTACCCATCCTATGCTATGTTGGGACTCGAGCTACCACCTTGATGCCAATGCGACCAATTCAGTGGAAGATATCCTCATCTGATCTGCCAGAATGTTTTCAATCTCTCCTAGAAAGTCACTTTTACTTTTACAAAATAGTTCATTGCCTCTGCGGCAGACTCCAATCCCTCCACGGAAGCGACGGTTGGCCATATAGCGATCAATCTATCATTAATGACGGTCGGGTATTGGTGCGGGCATGGTATGATTCATTCAACAGGTTTCTCTGCGAGGTGAGAGAGAGCCTTTGTTTTCGCTCCACTCCTTCATCCTCTTGCCACTTCGACATCGGAGCCTACTACCTTCAAATGCAATATTAGGCCACCATGATCCGACTGGAGTCGAAGATATATCGATCCGAAATAGTGTTTAACAACTATTTATCTAAATTCCAAGTTCTTCTCGAGGCGACCACATAGCTAGTCGACAAGCTTGATATGGAAGATGCTGCTGGTGTGAATACTTGCCTTGGTTTCTGCGTAGAATACCTTGCCGTAACTGGCTTCATCGCTCTTCGTTGCCGGGATCCCATTATCCGCAGGCACGCAAATGAGTTGATGCGATTTCACCCTAGAACAGAGGGGTTGTGGCAAAACACAGTATCGGCTGACCTTGCGGAATTTATCATGGCCCGTGAAGAAGCAGGGATCACTGGCTCCAATCCTCCATGTTGTCATGATATACTTTAACACAGGCGGCTGCAGCGGCTCGCATGCAATTTCATTTTTTAGGATCAGAAAATCGAAAACTTCCAAATGTAAGCAAACATCGATGTTGATGGTCTTGCGTGCTGACGGTGGCAGTGCTTACGGTGTCTTGGATCCAGATTTGATCAGGATTAGGGCTATTCGGTCTGGGATCAAGCCGGCAGACCAAAACCTCGAGAGTTTCTGGATCGACCGTCGCTCAGAACAGAGCATAAGCAAGCACAAAAATCCCCTCCCTGACGATGTATCAGGTCTCTTCCCGCAAGCCATCGAAATTGAGTCGAATCCGTGTCGACTCGCTGCCGGTGGGAAACCCGCCGAGTATCTTGAGATGTCTGCCGCGCTTCGTCTCTGTGGATATGTAAGCGGCATTCAGGGAGGACACCAGTGAGTATCTAACGGCGGTGTTTTAGAGGCGCGAATGTCTACATACGAGATGACTTTCCCTATCGAATCCAGTGCATTACTCAGCATTTCCAGGTCTAAACAGTGAAGGTCTGAAGTGCTCGTGTCAGTCCCAGTCATCCGAGGCCTCAGTTTTCGCAGAGCAGATTCTCGGTAGCCCAGAACCATCGGACATTGTGAATGAGTTCGAGTACCGGTCGTCGGGTCAATCTGTCGTTTCTTTTGAGACCTAGATATTGCTTCTAGACCGCGATTAGCAAGACAGATTTTCCGAAGCAAATCAGACGACTCCGTTGAAACCAAGTCGACACTGAATCTCGGATGGGCTTCAGCCCCTGCGTTTCGAGTCGCCCATGATCCACCGTCGCAGCCGCCGGGAGCCCACGTGACGAAATTCCCCACCAAAACACAGGCGAGGCTGGGGCATGGCTGGGCCCCTGTATCAGTTTGCCTGTAGGCCAAAGCAATAACCGGTCTTTTTCTACGCGGTACCCGGTATGCGTTGGATGGATGCAGGCCAGTGAATATGTCGCAGATGCCCTGTACTCGTTCATTGCCCTCCGGGTCTCACGACAGCGAAAGCAGTGATTTGACGAGTGGCCATGCCGGGATGGCCCAAGCTTCGAATTTCCCAGCCTCGTCAAACCCCAGTCAAACCATGTGGCTGGGAGGTCAATTACCAAAATTGTCTCAGAGGACACGATCTACAACGACCACCGCGCATTGTTCTGTATCTGACATCCTGTTCACGAGCGCTCAAGCCCTTTTTCTCTTTCCCATACTAAAGCCCACACCATCAAGGTGCGTCTCATTGACATAAAGCTCAACCTCAACCATCTTGATTCTCTCACATCGACTCATAATGCCAACAATCCTCACTCCGCAAGGATGGGTCAAAGTTGCACCCCCTCCGCCTCGTAAACGGCCAGTAAACCATGATCCCACTGCCGCTTTTCGGGGACCGTTAGCATACTTGGCTTGTCAACGGAGCAAATCCCCGAATATCAATGTCGTCGGCGGTGGGAATATCAAAGGCAGGGCTCAGTTCCCGTATGACCTGAGTGCGAGTCCCGAAAAGTTGAGACGACAAGGCGAGGCATATGCAAATGCAAATTCAAGGGCAGCAGACAGGAGTTTCTCCTCCTCCCCGGTCATGCACGGGGCTCTTCATCCGAGCGACGACGAAGAAGCGAACGAAAGTCCCGAACTAAAGGCCCATGTGCCTCCTCCACCACCACCACCATCACCACCACCACCGCCGGCCCAGCCCGCGGAACAGTCAGAGCACAAGTCGAAGTCATCAAAATCAAGATCAAGATCCTCTCGACACCACCATCACCATGATGACGACAGCCACTCCTCCGTCAGCTCCAGCTCGCGGCCCAGCTCGCACTCGACCTCCACCTCCAGCAGTTACAGTTCAAGCTCAAGCTCAAGCTCCTCCAGGTCCAGCAGGTCCAGCGCCGCGTCCAGCGTGTCCAGCGCGCCCTCAACCAAGTCGTACCACAGACCAGCGCCTCCGTCGTTCGAAGCCAGGCATCCTCCACCGCCCGTGCCAGCCGCACCGAGAGTGCACTACTATCCAATGCCAATGCCCAGGTACGATCACTACGCGGCGCCAGCCCCAATGTCGATGCCGATGTCGATGCACATGCCCCTGTCTCTCCCGATGGCACCACCAAGCAACACAGGTGCGAGTGCGAATTCCAAAGCCAGTGCGAATGCGAGGAGCATGTCCTACAACTGGTACAATGCCACCACGCCATTGAACCTAGGTTGATTTCTCAGGAAATGACCGGACGGATGAAATACTCAGTACATAAAACTCAGCTACCCACCTAGCTAGGTGGCTAGGTGTGTGGCTATGCAGCTAGCTATGTACGGTGGAGCTCCTGGCGCCTTTCGAGCACGTCTTTCTTTTCTGATGGTTTGGTCTGGTTTGGTTCTCAGGGATGTTCGGAACGGCTGACGACAGGAAGCTCTCTTACCATATATATGGTTGTGTGTATCTACTATTTATTTCATTCATATGACTGCTCTGTAATGTGTTTGGTCATGGTGTGTAGGGTGGTCTCTCAACCTGATTTCTTCCGTCCCTTCGATCCCGGTCAGTTCGTCTCGTTCCACCGGTCTGTGTAACTAAATGCAAATTGAATAAAAACCCATATCAAATCAGGTCCTCGTATGCGCATGCCGTCATTGCTCATCATTGTCAAATTTGCCCACCCTCGCCCCCCATCCCTCATTCCGTAGCCTCGTGTCATTATCGTATACATCACTCGCTCACTTGTTCCGCCACTGAGATAAAGGGGTGGATCCCCATTTCCGCTCAGATCGTTCCGGCTCGCTCAATCGTCCTCCTCCACGACCACGATTTTCTCGGCCCTCCTCGTTTCCCTCACCGTTCTGACCTGCCTGACGGGCGGAGGCCGGATAAAGATCTTCTGCGTCTTTGTGACCATGACCCTGGTGCCCGGGTAATTCCCTCCGCCGACGAAGGTGAGATTCGCTTCGGGTCGATTAGGGTAAGGGTCGATGATGACCACGGGCGGTTTGCGTCGCGGCGAGTGACTGGAGGAGGAGGAGGAGGAGGAAGAGTCGCTGACATAGTACCTTCGGGCACGGTAGTTGCGGAAGCAGCAGAGACACAGGAGGAAGAGTAAGAGGACGCCGAAGAAGACGCCGAGCACAATGCCGCCCACGGCGCCAGGTGACAGGCCATGCTGACGGTGGTCAACGACAATGACGCCTGCAGGCGTGGTGGTTTGAATGGGGATCACACTTGTCGTAGTTGGAGTGACGATGACGGGTGTGGTGGATGGCCATTCACAGTTGCAATCTGTCGTGGTGGTATAACTGGTGATCCAGCCGGTCTGGGTTGTGTAACTGGTCACCCATCCCTCTGGAGTCGATGTGGTCGCCCATGCTTGCTCCGTGGTGCTCGTGTAACTTAACCACTGACTCTGAGCCGTTGTCGATTCCACCACAGCCGGATACACCGAACCCTGGCCCGGCGCCCTCTGCTCGATTACCGGCATGGAGACGGATGAGGAGAAGGAGGAGGGGCAATCAGGTGGTGTTCACGACGCGATGGAAATAGCATCTGAGCGAGGAGACGACATTGGAGTTAGTTGAGCGAAAGGTTGAAAAGGAAACAACCCCCAACCAGACAGTTCCAACTCGGACGTGGGATAGGTACAAACGGAGTAGCTGGCTGGATCGAGCTGACGAAGGCGTGGGTTTTGAGACAGACATGCAGCGTGCATGGCCCGCGTGGTTGGCATGCGATGAGAGTCTTTTCGCACCATGACGACGGCGGCGGCTGTTGTACCAGCCACCTCTGTTTTGCTCTTCGGAGCTGTTCTCGATCAAATGCAGGCGGCTGGAAGCTTTTTGGAAGGAGGGGCAGGACGCAGGATGCCGGATAGAGTTCGTCGGCGGGGGCTGAAGCTGGTGCAGGGCCAGTCGGCTGGCAAGGAGCAGAGCTTCCAGTTAAGGATATAGGCGGGCACAGGGGAGGCTCACTAGGACTGGTGGCCTCCAGGGTTCAGGGTTGGTGGGTTGGTGGGTTGTGGGCTTGGGTCGATGGCGGGGCTCGGGGCTTCCCTAGATACTGTAGCTATGACGGCTCGGCGGGCTCTGACGAAACCACTCCATATTACTCCAAACAGGGTAACTTCTCGACTCTCCTCAGCCTCACTGTCGCCCATTCCACACCAGGCGCCAAAAGAACATTCGCAACCCCAATCATTCCATCCTGCACAGTAAGGCTGGCAAATCATCAAACGACACAGACATGCAACTATCCCCTTGGAGTTGGCCCAGTCGCACACGTCACTCCATGCCGTGTCACCTGGGAGCCGCGATTTATTCGTCCTTTCACGCAGTTTCTCGCGAACGAAAGCTCTCTACCTACCTTACCATGCTTCCTACATAGCCTATTGTTGATGTTATATCGTGATTTGACCGGTAAGTCTTCTCGTTGCCCTCTTTCCTTCCTCAGAAGTGTCTTGATATCGGCCGCACCGCAGCCATGGACATCTCTTACGAGAGGTACGTTTGCAACGACTTCCCCCCCGAAAACGACTGATTTCTCATGCTGCATAGCTTCGCCGACTCAAAGCCTTTCAGATTTCTCGTTGGTCCAGCAGCAAAGCCCTTCTACATTCATGCCAAACTCGCCACACAGCTTTCCAGCACTATGGCCGCTCTGGTCGAAGGTAGTATGGCTGAGGCAAAGAGATGTTATGCAGTGCTTGAGGACATCGATGAGGACACCTTTGTTCGAGTTGTTCAATTCGCATACACTGGTGACTACGCTGTTGCCGAGCCAGATACCCCTGTCGAAAATTCTTCCAATCACCTGGACCACGCCGAACCGGCTCCGGCTGTGTATGAATACCTACCTGAAGAGGAACCTTCTAACGCAGTGCTACCTGCTGAGCCAGATGAAAGAACCAGGGGTGAGCGGGCATGGGATTTTTTCCAGAGCGCCGCATACAAGAAAGAAACACAGCCGTGGCAGCCGGAAGTCAACCAAGATTCTCGCCAGGATTACACACCGGTCTTCCTGTGTCATGCCAAACTCTACATCTTCTCTGACAAGTATAACATCGAGCCGCTGCAGGAACTTGTGCTACAAAAGCTCCGGCTCACCTTGTCAAGGTTCATACTGCATCCACAGCGAGTTAACGATGTTGTCGAACTGCTGAAGTACACCTATGCAAATACGGCTTCACGCGATGTGAAAGATGACAAACTGCGCGATCTCGTCTCTGACTACCTAGTGTGCCACATCGAGAAGATTGTATACGACGTGGAGTTCATCAACATGCTCGGGAAAGAAGGAGACGGGAGAGAAGGAGATGTGGCAAAGGACCTCCTGCCCAAGCTGGTGCGACTACGTTTAGATTGAATTAGGGGTGATAGTTGTCATTGAGAGGGATTAGGGATTCCAGGGTGAAAGCGCCGCACTCAGACATTGGGCGATTGGGATTCCGCGCGCTGTTCTCCGCCGTGGAAATGGCACAACGAGAGGTCGTGTCTCATTCCGCAGTCTTTCAATAAACATATGTCCTCCGTACATCATTCATAGCATTTGGCGACACTACGTACCTGTTGGCGAAGTCGCAACTCTACGCCAAACCCTGGTCCACCTAGCAATCGAAGATGGCGCCCTCAAGAATCTCCCCAGACCCCTCGCCATCCAAAACACCCCTCCTCGGTCTCACACCCAAACAAGTCGCCTCGTTCCAGCGCGATGGCTACCTAATAATCCCCTCATACCTCCCACGCGAGACATGCCAGGCTCTCCTCTCCAAAACACACCAACTCCTACGTGAGTTCCCGCTGGAGGACCACCCGATGACGCGGTTCACCACGGGGACGGACTCGACAGGCAAGCCGACGGAGAAGAAGCACGTGGGGGACGAGTACTTCCTGACGTCGGGGGACAAAGTGCGCTTCTTCTTCGAGGAGGACGCGTTCGATCCGGGGACGGGGGAGTTGACCAAGCCCAAGGAAAAGGCCATCAACAAGATCGGCCATAACTTACACGGGCTGGTGCCCGAGTTTGGAGCCGTGTCACATATGGGTGAGGTCGGGCGCCGCAACGCCGCCATCGCGCGCGACCTGGGGTATCAGGACCCGCGCCTGCTGCAGAGCATGGTCATCTGCAAACAACCCGAGATCGGGGGCGCGGTGCCGCCGCACCAGGACAGCACGTTCCTGTACACCGACCGGCCGTCGGCCGTGGGCTTCTGGATCGCGCTCGAGGACGCGACCGCCGAGAACGGGTGCCTGAGCTTCGCGCCGGGCAGCCACAGACGGGCGCCGATCCGCGACCGCTTCGTGCGGCGCGAGGTCGACGGGTCCGCGGGGACGACGTTTGAAGGCGTGCGCGACGAAGCCGGACGGTGGCCGCGAGACTTTGAGCACCACGACTCACTAAAGGGCGACCGGCAGAGCGGAGAGGAAGAGGAGGAATACGTCCTCGGCGAGGTCGAGGCCGGCAGCTTGGTGCTCATCCACGGCAACATCCTGCACAAGAGCGAGAAGAACACGTCCGCCAAAGGCCGCATCATCTACACGTTCCACCTGATCGAGGGCCGTGAGCGCTACGACGACAAGAACTGGCTGCAGATCCCCGGCGGGCCCGGGGCGTTTACGAAGCTGGATGGGAAGTCATAGCGTGCGACAACATGAGACACCACCCAGGCAGACAAGGAAGAACTACCTTCCTACATAGCCACCCGTATACCTAGGTACGTAGGCCGAACATCGAGATCCTGGCCCATCTCGTAGAAAGAGAAACCCGCCTAAATCCCGCATGATCAACACTCACCTATTTCCATATAGATGTGTGTGTGGTCCGTATATATCGGCCGACAGCCTCGTCCTCTCCCTCCCCTCCCCTCCCTTCCCCTCCGCCGCCGCTCTCTGGAAACGCACCGCGATGGACCGTCCGACTGTCTCCCGCCATGGTCTGCGAGTGAGTGAGTACAGATGACCAATCCGCCCCCCAATTCTCATTCCCATGTAATTAACTACGGTAACTCCTGCGGCCTTTTCCTTAGCTGGGGGCCTTAGTCAGCTGGTACTGGTACTTTCCATGGGAAGTATTTGATAGATAAATGTAGGTACCTATGCACATCATGAGGGGGCGGGCTTCCATGTCTCTTCCTCCGGCTCCGGGACACGATTCAACCGGTCAAAAGAGTTAGTGAGTAAAAGTACTCTATGGACACCTGGGTATGGCGGTATGGAGGTAGTATCCAAATGCGGCAATAGGGAACGAAAATGTCGTTCGGAGATAATAAACATATGGCATTGTGTGTGGGGTTAAGCCACTTTGGACAATGGTTTAATAATGCTGTTAATATTGCCGACTTTTCCCAGTCTGAGCCGGTGACGTAGCGAAAGATAAAAGATTCGTATTCTCTCCTAGCGGATCATCGACCCGTTGCTACAGTGTTATCAAAAACCTTCTCGATTGTCTATAGATTATATCATCCACCCTACAACCATCTGCCACAGCCTATCTAAGAGATCTCTACTATAGCCTCTTCTCTTTCCACACGCTCGTCATGTCCCGACCACAACTGCAAACCCGGCCCTCCAGCGTCGTCGCACAGCAAAAGACAATCATCCTGGTGACGGGTGGGAATACAGGGATTGGCTACGAAATCGTCAAGAGGCTCGCCAGCGATAGCCCAAACAACCAGGTTCTGATGGGATGTCGCGACACCCAGAAGGGGGAAGAAGCGGTGGCGAGCATGGGCGCGCCCATCAACGTCAACCCCATCCAACTCGACATCACCGACGACCAATCCATCGAGCACTGCTTCCTTGCTATCCGGCAGCATTTCGGCAGACTTGACGTCCTGATCAACAATGCCGGAACCGCCGCGCAGCATCTGCCCCCAGACGCCACGACGCGACAAAAATTCGATCTCTGCTTGAACGTGAACGTCACCTCCACCGCCGTGTTGACCGAGACGCTGGCGCCGTTACTCGAAAAGTCCAAGCTGCCCAAAGTCATCTTCATATCCTCCACGCTGGGATCGTTACAGACTACCCTCGATCGTGGCCTCATGTACAAGGGACCCTGGTATAATTCGAGCAAATCCGCCGTGAACGCGCTCGCTGTTTATTATGCCAAATTGTACCCACGTTGGAAGGTCAACAGCGTGTGTCCAGGTTACCGTGCGACGGGTTTGAACAATGCGGAGCTGACCAAGGACGAATTGCACCCAAAGCTGGGCGCTGTCAGGGTGGCCGAGTTGGTAGCTCAAGGGCCTGATGGAGTGACCGGGACATATTCGAGGTCGGGAAGTGAGATACCTTGGTGATATTCACCCATCTTCACGGAAGTAGGTTCACGCGTTCATCGGCATCCGCAGAAGTCTCGACGTGTCGTCTTCTTGCCGCTCTTTGCGTCAAATAGCTGGACAATTGAAAGCTCCAATGGCAGCACATGCCTGCCGCGAAGCCGATTGCGTCATTCTTGAATGCAACAAGCAGGCCAGCGGTCACAAACATCACAGTCCATCTTCGCTTCTTCTCTTCGTCCGTGATTTCGGTGCGCCTTGCGCCGGCCCCTTCTTTGCTCAAATCCCGGGCCCGAGGGGTGTTGAGACTTTCTCCGACACTGGCAAGCTCCAGTCCGGCTGCGATGATCATGACCGAAAGAAAAGCCAAGGGAAATCTGTGAAGGGCGTCTGTAAGACTTTCACCAAACAGAATACCTAGCAGGAGCTTCAGAAGCCCAAGGAAGATGATGCTGGCACCTGAGCGAGCGCCAAATCGATATTGTGCCGCTAGTCCTCCTGACCCATGGCAGACTGGCATAGCTCCGAACCAGCATCCGAATAGATTCATGCCTGCGACACTAATGCCGATTGCCGTGACTGAAGGGGTTTCTATGTCCGGGAGGAGATCAGCGGCGAGGTGGGTAACGGCGATAATGGAGTTGAGTGTAGTCAGTGGTAGTTGGCCAATGCCGGCATCGAGGATTCCTGTCTTCCACTCTCTGGCGGATGGTGCTTGAGTATACGGCCGCCACAGTTGGAAGCCCGGAAGGTGACGCTTGTCATCGGCTGCAATCTGGATCAACGCGAACACGGCGCCGGCGAAGAACAGGATCAGAGCATAGGGCGTTCGCGGACGGAGATGGATCGCAAAAAGAGCAATGAAGGCCAATATCATCCACTGATAGTTGTCCGCCCAGGACGGCGTAGTCCACGACAGAGATGAAAGTGCTTTAGTGCCCGCGGCGATGATCAAACTCAACCCGGCGCCGACCTGGATTCCTTTCACCACCGGGATCGGAATGATTTTTGTGAACCACGAAAGAAGGCCTGTAACGCTGAAAATCAGGATGCAACTCGAGACAAAGATTCCGGCTGCCGCAATCTGCCCTGCTGTCAGGGATTTGAGAATCGCGACCGCTGCGATAGCCTTCATCGGCTGGACCGGAAGAGGGATCCCGAAGCAGGCACCTGTGAGAATGTTGTACAGGCCGGTGAAAATAAGGGTAGTGGTCAAGGAAATCTGGTGGCCCTCGGTCAATGCAATGACGATGGGCAGGAAAGTGCCCAGGTCACCGAGAGAGCCGGAGACCTCATTCCATGGCTGGCGTCGAAACGTCGAGTAGTTATGAACAGCAAGCTGCCGCAGGCGGGATTGGTTCATCACGATCTTTGTTACGAGCGTACCTTCTTGCCCGTAGTCCACTCGAGTTGACAAAGGAGAGGAAGAAAGGAAAAAGTAGAAGGCATACAAATGGTCAGCATAGATATAGGACAGATGATGTGGTCGAGAGGATGGCCGCGGATAAATGATGGATGAATGATCAATCAAACCTTGAACGAGCCAATCAGAGCCTGATTTTGCCACCTGACGAGGCTGCGAAAATGCGAGGCTGCGAGGCCGCCGGTGCAACATGCAAAAATGGCGCGGTCAAGCGCCGTCAGGCACGGTCCAAGGTCATGGGACTCTATTTATTCAGCCGAAACCATTTGCTGACTGCTGCTATGAGTTTGATCAATCAAATTCTCCATGAATACCCCATATGCGGACAATCAGACTCTCTCATGTGGGCATCCATAACTATCTTCATGCCACAAAGCCAACGATCTCTGTCGTACACACACCATTAATGAGGTTGCCCAGTAATTCTTCTATAGTACAGGTCACAAAAGGCCCAAGTTGGAAGGAAAGGCGCTCGCCGAGACCATCCCCCTCACAGGTTACTACTCCTTGCGAACATTTGATGTCCCATCAGCTCTGGTTGATCATGTTTCGAAAGTCATCATTCGTCTTCTTTCCGCTTCCTTTGTCTTGCTCCGCACTCGCAGCCTGTTTCTCACTTAACCCGTGCAAAACGCTTGACCTCTGTCCCAGATGTCCCCCCTTCTTTCGAACACCCGGCTGTACAGGGCGTCTGACTGGTCCACTGGCAGGCGTAACAGCTTTCGGAGCTGGACGAGCGAACTGATCGATCTTGTGCTCCGGCTTTTGCTGCAACATTTCCTTCTCCGTGGTCACATGAATATGGCGGCCGGGATTAATCTCCAAGTTATCGAGCTCGATCATCGCTCGCCCGGCGTCTGGGACATTCTCAAATTCAATCAAAGCGCCTTGATGATTTGTCTTCAGGACCACTTTTCGTACGGGGCCGATCCTTTCCGCGACAGCCTTGATGCGGCTCTCGTTCACAATGTCAGGTACGTCACAAATGACAACAGTTCGCGCACGACGGGCCTCTATGGCTTCCTGGTCCACAATCCTTTCCGTGCTAGCGACATCGGAAGCAGCCTCCGGCTGCAGCGACGGAGATTTCAACCGCCCATTGATGCTTTTGGCAAATCGGCCGTCACGTTCAGAGGTAACATTGACGGTCAGTTTTCTGCCCTGGAACTCCTTGCCATGCATGGCCAGGGCTGCCTGTGCTTCTTCTGGACGGGCATACGTCACGAACGCAATGCCACGGTTTCGAGAATGGCTTTTCGGATCCTGGGGAAGTCGGAGCTGTTCGATCGTTCCATATTTAGAAAAGAGCTTCTCGACATCCTCAGCTGTGGCCTTGAATTGTAGTTGACCGACGAAGACCGTCCGACCGTCGCTGCTCTTCTCCGCTCTTGCCTGCCGTATTGTCGGATTGGAGATTTTGGCCACTAACCGCAGCCCATCAATGTCTTTATTGTCAAGCTCGGTCGCGGCCTGCGCGTCAGAGGGCCGCTTGAATTCGACGTAGCAGAACCTTCGTCTCTTGTTGTGTTGAAGTGAGGGAAAGCGAACATTGATGACTTCCCCGTATGGGCGAAACAAATTGCGAATGTAGGATTCATCGGCGGCAGCAAGGTAGTTGGTGACAAACAAGGTTGATCCAGTGTTGAGAATGATAGAGAGCTCAGCACCTTCAAACTCGCGTCCATTTCTAGAAAGGGCGAAAGAAGCGGCATCAGCATCCTCAAATTCCACAATGACACTATTCTCCTCGTCCTGCAGTAGCTTCACTTGCTTGACGATTCCGCAGCTGCTGAAATACTGCCGGATCTTGGTCTCGGTGACGTTGGGTGGTATATTCTGCACAAGGACGCTTGCGTGCTCACGGTCGCGTTTCAATTCCTCTGCTGGAGGATGAATCGGTTCAACCGACTGTTCTGCAGTCTCACCATTCCGCTGTC